TGACAGCAGCGTTTTGGAGAATACAGTTGAAAGTACTTGCAGCTGTCATATCGCTGCCACTCACCGCCCGTTTCCATGACATTGCTGTGCCCAAAACTTCTCGAGATTGGCATGTCCCATATGCCCCTTGAACCTTCATCCTTTAAAAGCCTCACCCAATGTCACGCATAAACCGAACACTCTACCCGTAACTCTGAGATCGCTAGCCGTGAAACCCTGTATGTGCCGAAGCCTAACCCTAAACCCCCTTTTGACCAGAAATGAAGAGTAACAACAATGGGTGTTCCCGAACTTCTTTGTTGGTAATCCGAGTCCTGATAAACAGCCATGTAACCCCAGCGTCCATTTCATTTTCCGTCTTTTTGGCGTTTGACTCTCAATCATACGCCTAATCAGCGCCTGAGAATATAACTCTACATAATCCGTATATAACCCCATACACAATCCCTACGTGCCTATAGTTCTGAAAACCAGCGAACCAAAAATCTAAGGCGGGCCCAATCTCAAAGCCAGCCAGGCCTACCGGCCCGGCCAGGATGATGACCTGGTGACTTTCCAGGCTTCATGGAAGGAGACTTCAAGGTTTAGGGTTTAGGGCTTAGGGTGCAGGGCTTGGGGCTTATAGGGTCTGGGGTTTGGGGTGTAGTGTTGGTTATAGGGAGCACGCTGGGGTTCTGCAGGGACCATATAGAATTTCTACCAGGATTCTACTGAGTTGTGGAGGGGCCCAAGAGATAATCGACAGGGCAGGGCTTAAGGCTTTGTTGTTGATAGAAGGATCCAAACACCCTGGCTCCCGGGACCAAAGCTTTGTGAGTATTTCTAAAGACTGCAATCGGATAGTATTCGTGCCAGTTGATCGTGATACAAATGGTAAGAACAATGATGATGACGATGATGATGATTATGATGCGAATCATGACCAAAGACGTAGTATGTGGTAAACCCTAAACTATCCTAAACCTAAAAACCCTAAACCTCTAAAACCCTAATACAAACCCCAAAATAAACCCCATATAAACCTAATATAACCCCGATATAACCCCAATATAACCCTAATCTTCCCCCAATGTATCCCCATTCTCAAACGAAGGGGCTGTAGTTGCCAGCTGCAAGGGATGAAATCTAGCCGTCAGGTCTGGGCGATGGAGCGAAGGCTGGCAGCCTTTTAGGGTTTTTAGCTTTAGAGTTTCAGTGTAGGGTTTAGGGTATAGGGATACTGAAGTGATCATAGAGGATTTCGGGTTTACGTGGGGATATTGTAAGGATCATATAGGATTTAGGGCGTAGGGCTTTAAGCTCTAGGGTTTGGAGTTTAGGGGCTTTAGGGTGTAGGGGCTTTAGGGGTTGTAGAGGGTTTAGGGGTTTAAGTTTTAGGGTTTGTATAGGGACATTGAAGCGATTATTCAGGATTTAGGGTGTTTATATAGGGGTCATGTAGGATTTTCAATGTTTATATCGGGATTTTATAGGGAGTATGTCTGGGGTTTAGGATACTACATCAAGGGTCATTAATGGTTTGTAGGCTATATAGAGTTCTATATGGTGAGCCAAGTGAGAAGCATGGCAAATGACATTTCAACTGGGATGATAGAGGGACTCAGGCTTTTGGATCTAGGTAGTCGTACTACGCTCAGTATCTGTAGTTACACGAGACCATCGAGTGTTATGACTAGGGCCTTCCTACGTACCCATACACCGCCATGGTACAAGGCAAGACACACTAATGTGTACAGCCTAGCGGTTCTAGAGTCGTCTCGGGCATGTCATCAACACTTGCTTTGCTTACTAGCTGTCATTGCGGATAGTGGAACGGATCAGCATAGTAGCTCCTAAAACGCCCAAAGCCGTGGAGTTCCCATTTTCCTTCCCGTTCCTTCAGTCCCAGCAAGTGTGGGTGATCAGGCTTAGGAGTTCAGGGTTTGGTCGTCAGTGAGTATCGCATAGAGCTCGTTCCTTATGTTTTTAGCGTAGAACCCTGCAGAAACTTAAGTGTTGCTTACCCAACCAAATCGGTGGCCTGCCGGCATAGGCCTTCCCCCAAGGCCACCTGTGCGCGCAAGCGTCTCATCCACCTTGGGTTTATGGCATCGTTGACCATACCAAGGGGATCATGCAGGAGTAGAACGAGGCTATTTGATTGCTGATAGGTTTATACATTATAGATCTTTGGTGCTATGTATGGTCTTGCTTGCAAGCAACTCCACTTCAAGGCATGCAACGCTCAGTCTTCTAGGCATGCAACGCTCAGTCTTCTGCTAATCGTTGGCGTTGGCGCTCAGAAGTACAAAGCCCAGCCCTGGTCTTGCGAGCCCCTGAAAGACGCAGTCATCCCCAAGGGCCAAGGGCCTGAGCCCTGTTTTGGGGATTCAGGTACCTAAAAAAAGTATACACCTTTTTTTGAAGCAGGGACTGTTTTCTGGGGCCGGCGCATTTGCATACTAAGCCTTAGGGCCACAATTCTCTGTACAAAAACCCTGTGGGCCTAGAGTAATGTGTACTGCATAGGTAACTGGTTCCACAGGGCGAACACTGAAAGCCCATTCCACCTCTTCGCTGGCCACGTCTGCAGGGTATTCTCCGCTGCGCAGCCGTACTCGTTGCAAGTCAGATGCAGCCACGGATGACATGGCTGCAAGGATTAATGCTTGCATCTGTGGGATTGTTATGCTATGCAGAACTAAGTGCCCGGATATAGGAGCAACTTCCTCCTCCGAAGTTTCACCATCTCTAAATTGGCTATCCGCATGTGTCTGGCATTGGCGGTATCAACTCTTGCAGAAATTCCCCGAAGATTTGGGCTCTCTAAGTGGCAGGGCTGGTATTCAGCGGGCTTCCGCGCAACCGTCCAGGCCGTAGCTACTGTTTCAATTCTTCTGCCGAAGCCAAGATGCGTGTCACGTTTTGCAACAGGCTTCGGAACAAATGATGTTTCTTATTTGCTTTTGTTCACTTCCTGCTGCCTCCTATGGAGTGGCAACCAGAGAAGCTAAGGCTTCACTAGAAAGAGTTGACGTCTATGCGCCTGGCAAACAATCCTGGCATCTGGGTGGATCTTGAAGGGCTGCATGCTGCGTAGGAAGCTGCGTACGCAATGAGGGATTATGTCAAGTGTGGACATGTGCTGCGCGCAACAGAACGAAGGTGATTATCCCAAAAAAACCATGCCACAGCAGTAATAATCCCTTGTTCCTGGCATTCAACCCCTTCCCACCTCCAATATTCCCAATTTCGTGGTATGCCACAATGGGTTTTTGCATTATTAGAAGGTGGGCGTGCGTTTGAATGTTGTAGAGGCACAGGATTCATCAATATAGTTTTCCACCTGTTTGCCAGGAGCCCCTGCTTAGGGTTTAGGGTTTAGATTGACTTCATGTAATACTGGCCAGTCTGTCGATGTAGCACATCCTGGGGATCCTGAAGGTCGTAGACCAGGTGTACCCCTACATAAGTCCTCCGCAAGTAGATAGAATATTGGGTATATTCTATCTACTTAATACTTGAGGGGAACTATAACCCCATGATTCAATTTAGCTAGATGATCCATTTCATCCTTGTACAAGTGTTTAACCCAGTGTGCAGCCTGCGTTCGTGTTACTGGCACAAGGCGCGTACGTGAAGACATACCTGATTCCGCACATCAGATCAGCACGCCGCTGCTTTCTCCGATGCAGACATCTGGTAGCATCTTTTTCTTTTTCTTGAAGGTCTGGGATATCAAAGGCCTACCTGTTGGACGGGGTTGATCGACATAAGCACAAGGCTTATGAGCGTCATGAGATCTCTGTAACCTGTCACTCCTACCCGTCCTACCCGTGGCCTCCAAGGAAGGGCGCTCAATTGGTCCATGTACTGTACGACTTTGAAGTAGCATGTAAGAAGAATGCAACTAATAAAGGAGTCTCTCTCAGCATTCGTCTTCCGGTTCTATCGGTGGGGTGGGAATTCGAAAGCAATCCACATGTCCATATATTAAAGCCCTATGCTTGCTGCACCGCACTTGTCACGGCCCCCCCTGGCTGCTCTGCTACATGAGAGAGAGTTTCTCAAAATCGCCCTAAATCATCAACCATGAGCAACCACAACCCTCTCTTAACGTATAGATGCTAGGGTTCCGCGCGGACATTTTGAGAAATCCTCAAATCCTAATCCCTACATGCGAGCGCTCCTTTGGCGCTCTGCCTGGCGAAAAATGTCAATGGCAGCCTGCTCGAGGGCGGTCTGGGGGCTTTGGGGTGTTTTTTTTGTTGCGTGTTGTAGTCTTATTAGTGGGATGGAGCTTGACGCTTGAAATACAGTTGAGGCTCTTCCGGTAGAAGATTCTGAAAGGTTTTGTTCTATCCCATCAAGGGAACACAAGCTTGAGCGCCCCTAACCTGCCAGCCTGCCATCACCTCCTGATTTTGCCAAATCAACCCTCAATTCTACTGTTATAGCCCTACCTGGAGCAAGAAGCATGTAGAATTCTCGCCTTTCTTGGCTCTTTTCATTTCTTACTGGTTTTGGACCTTGTTTTTTTTACGTACTTTTAAGATCCAGGTAAACCCTCTTGCAGCTTCCATCTTTGTTCCTGCCTCGTGTCCGAAGCAGCGCTTCATGGCCGTTTTCACTAAGCCGTCTTTCCTCAGCATGGATATACACACCTATCACCCATGCACATGTGCATCTACCTACATTGTGGTATATCGTAGAATGAGTAGAATGCTAGATGCTGCGGTTTTCTTCTAAGCACAAGGAACTGAACGCAGCCAGGAGCGCTCCAAAACAAGCTGTTCTGCTGACCTGTCCAACATACGAAAACAACCCTTGCATGTGTGAGGTCCACGCATGCCCGCCCGGAACACCTATCGGCCTGGAGTCGCTGGCTGCTCTTGAGTACATTGATAAACAAGCCATCTGTTCCGAAAAATGCCGCACAAGTCCCCCTGACACAGGAAAGGTGTACCTACATCTGAGCAAACGCAAGCAACGTCATGTATATCTCTTGCTAAGAGCCTGGCCGGTCAACAGCTGGCAACCGTAGAAATGCTTCGCGCGCATCCTGTTGGCCGAGACCAGGCAGCATTTTCCAGAAAAGAGGTTCCTGGTGAGGACTTTTGACAGAAAGGCTCAACTTTGAGACCCTGAACCCTAAACAAGTGACAGGCACGCGGAAGTGTTCATGTGGACCTCCTTCTCGAAGCCTAAGCCCATGATAAAGCCTTGTATACCAGTTATACAATGCAAACATATGCAAACAACAGATGTAGATGGACGATCGCGCTGTGCGGGCTGCAGGAAAACTACGCGGTTGCGTACGTCAGTTGGAGAGGTCGGATTGAGATTTCAGGCTCCTGGTTGGCACGATAAGATCTTGAGCTTCAGAAGTGGTTAGTCTCTTTGGGAAATGTCTCGGGCGAAATCTAAGTGATGCAGCAATAACCTGAGCAGAGTTGGGCGTCATGAGTCCCAAAAAATGACCACACTTGCCTTTAGTTCAATCAGCACCACACTCCAGCAACCTGCACCAAACCTGCCAAAGTCACATGACTCTAACAGCTACCATGGGATCAGGCCTCTGTGCGCTTGGGGTCAGCGTTGGCGTACCTGCGCTACATGGCACTACTAGGGACAACTCTCTCTTACCTCTACTTTGTGAACTTCAGAGGAAAATAAAATAAACCCAACCAAGGCACGTAAAATAATCACCCCTTTGAGCACCACCGCTCCACCCTTCTGGGTTCAACCTAGCGCCCTTCTTAGCGTCGGAACTAGGTCTGCGCGGCTCACGCTGAGATCCTCAGGGCGTGGGTCTTCTTCTCTGGGGCGATACGCCTCTGAGTCATCTCCTCCAAGAGTGCCTGCGCTGGGATGTCTTACTATTTGGGAATACACTTGCATACTTTACAACAAAACAGGTCCCACATGTCATATATTTAGTCCTGTAAGTGAGGACTGTCTATGTGGACTCCCAGGACCTGGAAGAAGCAGCTTCTTGAACCACACGTCCTTTACGGAAATGTCTGCCCGTGAGGATGCGCATGGCTAATCCAATGCTCGTGTAGCTGGTCACGGGACAAGACGAGGGCAGGCAGAAGCCGTCCATAGACCCAGTATGTGAGACTCGAGAACGGCCCATAGTAAAAGGTTTACGAGCACAGTTTCATAATGAACTGTATGACCCGAACCCCACGGGAATCACGCAGAGGCTTCCAAGTAGTCACTAAGCAGTCCATTCAACAACAATCGCGGGAACCCCAAGTTTGTACACAAAACATCGGCAAATCCCCTGCGCCATAAGATCCCATAGAGTCTCGATTCTGTGTCGTACTCAATAGACCTTGGCCCCTTGGTGACCATGCCCTCAACCTAACTCCCCCCAAAAAACCTTATTCACCCCCAAACCCTGAACTAAGCCCCAATTCAGGCAGTGTGTGTTTCTGCCGGTGTTCACGACGTCAGGCAGACTCAGGCCATTGAAGCCTGCGAGACGAGCACGTACGTGCAACGAGACCTGTACAGTCTTGTCATTCATTCTGGGCCTTTGCAGGGGTAGGTGCACTCACGGCTTGCTTGCCGCCTCCACGTCTCAGAAAAGGCTTCTTCACCGGGATGACCTTCTCCTTCTGAAGCCGCACAGACTCTGTCTGCATGTAGTCGTGCAGCTTCTGCTCGTCGCCATCGCACTCGGGCAGAGTGAGGAATTCGCGCATCTGCTTGTTGGTGAAATGAGGGAAGCGCATCTGCATCCGGTCATACAGCCGCACGTTGAATTCAGACTTTCGCTGCAAAGTCTCAGACTCGAAGCTTGCTAACTGTTCCGCGAATGCTACATTGGGGCTGATACACTTGCGCTTCCCCTTGACAAACGACATGGCGTCGTCAAGAGACCATCCTTGGCACGCAATGAGGAATGCAATGACCACTGAGGCAGAGCGAGAGACCCCCGCCATGCAATGGACGAGGACGCATGAAGTCGGCCTTTCTTCGCCGTCAGCGAGCTCTGCTTTTGGCCTGGTCCCAAGCACGTCTTGAATGAGTGGGAGCGCGGTAGGGAAGATCTTCTCAATGCTGCTGCACTCATCGTCCTCCACATCCAGCACCGTGAGGGCAATGCTCTCGTTTTGGCTGATGGCAACTGCTTCCTCATGCCGGCCCATCTTGAAGTCTGGCGGAATGATCCGGATCACTCGCTGGAGTCCACGAGCCTCAACCAACGCCCGGCGAGTCGTGCCATCCATGAAGGCTACATTGGACCCAAGCCAAAGACCAGGGATGATTTCGTTGCAGCTGCCTGTCTCTTTGAGGTGAATCTCCTGCGCAGCCCGGCGAGAGACGTGATCCTCGGTCTCTCCAGCCGATGCCTGAGCCATCCTTTCCCAGAGGCGCCAACACTTAAGCAAGGGCTCTCACTGACCTTCACTCTGCCCTGAAGACCTCAGAGCCGAAGGCCTTGACGTCTAAAGCCCTGATGTACTCGAGGACCAAGGCGAGGTCTAGGGTTTGCCTACTGCACTACTCATATCAATTCAACGGCATCCGTCTGGGCTCATATGCTTTTTCTAGACAGGTTCTGCAAAGATCTGACCCGAATCCAGCTCTGTGGTTGCTGAATATAATTGCCTGTTCGAGTGCTGTCTATGTTGGAACCTCAAGACCTGGCAGCGGCATGCGGAGGTGAAGCCAATGCATGAGCCCCACTGCTTGGGCAGGAGGCGTAATAAGTACGGAGGAGTGGCAGAAGCGGTTCAGGAACACTGCGAAGGCTATTTGAAGACGTCACCGTCTTTTGTGGGAGCTCCAAATACGTCTGGGTGCCAGTTGCCACCACGGAAGCGCACACCTGAAACTTCAGCCCAAGTTGTCACAGACCAAGCATTTTGCGCAAATGCTGTTTTTGAGGCCATCATGAAGGGTTGGTGTACACTCCCTGATGGCTTGGTTCAAATTCACGGTTTTACCTCGAACCTGCAGATCAGCCGTGATGGTCTGTCTGAAACAGGCAAGAAACAGCTAGTTTGACTCGTACTCCCCTATGTTAAATGAAGATGCCAGTGGGCCATGGTCCTCCATAGTCTATGGCGGGCCTTGATTGATGCCCTCCCCACAAAGAAGCCTCAACAAAAGACATCTCCATCATCAGAACCGTCAAAACCATTGGGCGTCTCTGGTGAATTTTCGGCCATTCGAGCTTCTCGAAGGTCTTGCTCTGTGCGGACTTTGCCAGGCTGCTTCTCAAACTGCGCATGCCTGCCAGGCAAGGATAAGCCCGGAAAAGATTCCGGGCTCAAGTTACATTTATCTTTCCTCTCCATCTTTCCTTCACTTATGTAAGGCCCAGAGTTTCAGGTTTAGGGGGTCACGATTCATGTGACCTGCAATGCGAGGACAGCGAAGGAACCATACTTTCGGGCTTCATTAATGGGGTACATGCTCATCATGTGAAGCTGCAGGAGCTTTCAACCGCGGGTCGTTATTGCCAAGGCTAGGCTCATCCAAAGGCTTGTTCCTCAAAACGCTCCTTCGTCTGTGTCAGTGCCGGGATCTAAGGCTAAAGCCTGTTCCAGAGGCGCCTTGGTATTATAGGCACTCTGAGACTATCAAACGGTAAGTACTAGAGAAAAAGGGACAGGACCAAATACCAAACGAAGCTAGATGGCCGAACAGCGTCTAATGTTGACCTCCCAATAAGGAATCCTCCCCTCCAAATCTTGTTTCGCGTTTTTGGTCTGCGGAGAGGGAGGGTCCCAATAATGAACCAGGGGGTTGGGGTAGGACTAGGTCGTGCAACTCGTAGTACTAATAGTAGAAGGAAATCTATGAAAATCGGGATAGCTTCGGGCGGACAATATTATTATTGCCACCCTAGTATTGCCGATGGCCCTTGTTTACACCTTTGCGGCCTTTGCGGGCTCCGAACTTGTTAGAAAGCAAATGTATTCTTCGAGGATTTTCTGGCCTGGCAACCAAATACGATTGCCAGCCCCCCTGCTATAGGTAGGTTAACATTAGAGGGTTCAGCTGCCAGCAGTGGCCCTAGTCCAAAAGCTACTTCTCACAGTTCTAGTGCTCTTTTCAAGAAGCATGCGGATCTCAGAAGCAAAACTATATGATATGAAAAGGAGCTTAATGTGGTCACAAATGTAGGATGAGGACCCTACGAGCCGCTGGAAGTCCGCGGCTTGGGTACTTCTACATGACTTTCGTATGACTTGGGCTTGGGCCCTTTCTCCCAACCTTGTATCATTCCCCACAAAACGGGCTTGTGCCATCTCAACTGCAGGTCCAACTCTGAACCCCACCACCACAAAAAGGACAACTTCAAGTGCTTGGCCTAGGCAGCTCGACTTCACGAGCTTTCGGCGCTCCAAAGCTCCTTGAGACGGGACGACTTTCATAGTCATGCGACCCAGCGTGCAGAGAGTAGTCGGGGCGGTGGCAGTGGTATTGGTGGCGGCTGTGATGGTGCCAACGACGATAAAATTGAGCACTACAGCCGTCGTTACAAACGGAGATAACCAACGATACGAAGGTGCAGTAGCCATGGAACCCCGTCACAGGCGATGTGCGCATGGGATCGCATGGGCACTTGGGCCTTCTGGGCAACAAGTGAATGACGCAAAACGGAGGGGCACGTGCTTATGTGCATCCTGACTTGATTTGCGAACGTGTTTTGATTATAGATCAGTTTGAGGGCTTGTTACACTTTCAAAGTATACAAATGAGACATGGGTTATCCTCTACCGCAACTACCCTGGGGCCCAGAAGCTTCACACATAACAGGAAGCAGGAGTTGGGAAGTGCTTTTTTGTGTGATTTTCAGATTTGTCATGTGTGGGCTAAGCGGGTTTGGAGCCCTTGCGCTTTGTAGCACTTCAAAACCAACAAGTGATCAGTTAGAGAGAGAGAGGCTGAGAAGGCTGAAACAGGCTCACACTACCCTCAGATAACGACATCCCATGTGTTGGGATCTCTGGCAATTTGACGACAATCGTTACCCTGAACAACCATCTTTTGCATTCTTTGCAAATTCTTTTCTGCTCTTTGGAAGCGTCCTGCCACATCTGCCGGACTGCCTGCATTTGGGAGCTTTCTCGCGCCTGGCTGGCAACGTGGTCCAAAAAAGTTCGGAGCTAACTGTTGAGAACTTACAAAATGGGCATGCTGTACTTGTGGGCCCACTTTAAATGAGGGCCTCCCAGCTGACAGACCAAAAGTGTCCTAGTTTCCATGGATGGGGGGGGGGGGGGGGGG